GCATCAAGGCACTATGGAGACGCCCATTTCGACCAACTCGTTCGGCACATCAACAACCGAAAGCTGTGAACTTTCTGAAAAACCCTGACAAGACTTTCTTACCCTACAGTAGTATTATATAAGATATGATATTGTATAGGACTGAAGGCTTCAATACAGGATATCAGTTGCGACTTCAACGTTCGGGAATGACAAATGAGTCCTGCGGATGGGAAAAGCGTGAGAGAATGAGAAATGATATTTAGGAATCGCTGGCAATTTGGTGTCAACAAGAAACGAACAACGACAAGTAATGTTTGACGAAAAAAAAATGGAAAAGTTCAGTGAAATCACAGGGTCTGGCAAAGCTGCAAGGAGTGGCACGAGCCTCCATTATTATGACGAGAGGGTGTTTTGCAATGAACAGCACTTTTATTGGGGTAGCGACTCTCTTTCAACAGCTCATGACGAGCAACTGCTGTTTTTACACGGCTTCAAACCACAGTAGTAGAAAAAGTATAAATACATAGGACACAGTTTTGAAATAACAGATATCAGTTCAAAGTGAAAAATTGAATGTCTAGAGAACAGTTGGCACATCTAAAATATTAGTACAAGCATAATATTAGTTGAGAAGAGCATCCTCAGGGACACTACTCACTACCAGCGAAACAGATTTTCTTTCTCTACGAATGGTAGAGCAACTCCACGGAAGCTTTTGCAGATGGAATCCCTCCACGGTTCCCTCGCAATGGTCAGAAAGGACCGCCTTGTGTCCGAGAGTTCGTCTTGCTCCCATGTACCACACCTGTCTGCCGAGACAGACAAAATATTTTAGTACGCAAGATTTCTTATCTCATGAAGTGTCGCGGTCTCGAAGAACATTTGCGGTAGCTTGAAATGTTTTTCCGCTTCGAAGGCTTTCAAGGAGTATTCGTAAAGCCTTGGCGGGCCCATCATACTTAAAAGTGCACTTTCACTTGAGTACCAGCACAGACCGATTACGCTTCGACGGGCCCTATAGCCAGCATAGACCTTTGCGAGGAAAACGGAATTATTCCTTCGGTGATGAAAAAGTCACAAATCGCTCCTAGAAATAAATTTAACCTCCTCAACTAGAGAATACCTCAGAGGCAAGAAGTACGATAAATTGACAATGCGTACAATATGCATAGCAACGAAAGAGTATTGTGCCCCTTAGCAGGCGCTACGTGGCGCCTTTTTCAACCAAGGGCACCGCTATAGAGCCTAATCAAGGTGCAATATGCGACCAAGAGACCCACCGCAACCGCCCGCCCACAAATGGGCGGGCAAAATTTATGAAGTACAATTGATATGAAGCGTAGGTGCATTGATATATGAATACAACCGTGCGACCGTATCTATCAAAGCACGATGCCAAAGGGAAACTTGTCGGCAAAGTTGCTTCGTCAGTGGCGCTGAATAAAGGCTTTTCTGGGCCAGGTTTCCACCGTTCAACTACATTTTCGTGCATTTTCCCCCCCCCCCCCCCCCCCCCCCCCCCCCCCCCCCCCCCCCCCCCCCCCCCCCCCCCCTCATATTAGCAGACCGCTGCCTGTTATTTTTCTGGGCACTTGCCACTACCATCGTCGCTTACGTCTTTGCGGGGTAAAGATACCCAACTTTACTCAACGAATCAGAGAAAGG